TTTCCTCTGGCGTCCGGCCAGATGATGGGGTGTACAGAGCCCAGCCAAGTGAGTTCTGCTGCTGCCACTGACTGTGTGAAGGAGCAGAAATTTGGGGCATGAATCATGCAGGGCACATAAAAACAAACTGCTATGAAAATATTCATCTGTGTATCTCCAGTTTAGTCCAGACAGAAACGACACCATTTTATTTACTGAGAGAAAGATGGACAACAACCTCCACAGCAGTAGGTGTGTTACTGAGAACTGAGACTCTGGGACTGTCTGTGAAGGTGAACTGTGATAAAAGACCAGCAGCCATGTGTTTGTTTATGATAGCATCGGTTTCAAACAGCAGCAGCTTTATGTCAGAGACTCTGAGACAATAACAGCAATAATCACAAGAGGAGAGAAACAGGACGTTTCCTCACTGAGGAGTCAGGGAATCCTCCTCCTTCATATCTATATCTGTGATATAAAGACTATACTCAATAAACCGGAGACTGTACTTATTATTGCAATTATCATAACGACATGCTGAGTCAGCAATGGTACTGTTCAACCCACTGATGTGTTTTTTCTAATAGTAACTGAAAAAGAAGATACAGGCTGCCACGTGGAATATAAAGGTGACATCAGGAAACACCATGTTGTACTTCTGTCGATGTTAATGGCTGATTGGTGAACAGGTCGAGTTGTGTGAGGTCACAGAGCTCAGGTGCAGGTGAGGATGCCCTGATCCTGTTTAAGGTCATGACCACCCCTGATAAGACTTGTAGAGAGGTAAAAACAACAGTTCAGGGGGGTTGAAACATTTATATATCTTTCTTACCTGTAATTGTACATTTTACAGCATAGTTTCCATATTCATGCTCCTTAAGTGGACCATACCATTTCTTAAGCTTCACATTAGTCTCCTCCAGTGTTTCCAACTTACTGACTTAATCGCTAGAATTTCGCTATCGCTAGACTTTTAGCAACCTCTTTTAAAAAAAGCACTTAGCAACAAATCTAGTGACTCTCTGGAAAAAACCTCCCAGCTACTTTCCAGAGAGCCACCAGCACTGTGCCGTGGACGAGAGGCAGCTGACTCTGTCTACTGTGTTCAGTGGGAGGCAGAGAGGTGAACCAACAACAGATGCGCAGGCTGTGAGCTGTGTGAGAGAAGAAAAGGAGAAAGATCTGACTTTTCTTTTTTTTTTTTTTAAGTATATTTTTTGGGTTTTTTATGCCTTTACTGTTAGCACAGTAGAGAGAGCCAGGAAATGGGGAGGCAGAGAGAGGGGGAATGACATGCAGTAAAGGGCCATCTGATGCAGGATTCGAACCGGGGCCGACTGCAGAAAGGACCTTAGCCTCTACATATGGGCCACCTGCTCAACTCACTGCGCCACTCGCCACCCCAAGATCTGACTTCTCTGACTTTCTCTGTGAGTGATCATGTTACAGTAAATGTAGCTGAAATCACAGTTCAGTCCTTGTCTTTAACTGGTGTGTTTGGTGATGTTGTCGGACGATGTCGCAGTTATAAAGTCAGGATTTCAGCAGCAGCTTGAAGTGACTGCTGCTTAACATGTAGTCTGAATGAGCTGTGTTTCTGCAGACTTGATCCGCTGCCATGAAAACATGAGAACAGGTTTATTGTGAATTCAGCTGTATTAAAATACTGTATATGTGAGCCCAGAGAGGAGCAGAGAAGAAAAGGTTGAAGGACTGAAACTAGGATGAATGCAAATACTACGCAATGATGTCATGGATATGGGCTGGACATTTAACAACTATAACAACAGCAACAATATTAAAACCCATGTGCACTTAAGGTTTACTTATAAGTATTGTATTAGCAGTGGTGGAAAGTAATTAAGTAAGTACTGTAACAAAGTACCATTTTGAGGGACTTGTACTTTACTTTAGTATTTCTTATTTTATACTACTTTATATTTCCACTCCTACATTAAAGACGGAAATATTGTTCCTTCTACTGCACTACATTTATTTCACAGCGTTAGTTAAACAAAAAAGATACTGTTGGACTGTACCACTGTAAGTTCATTGACGCACATGCTTGCACTGTACAGGTTGCCTTTCGCCCCTTAGAATAAATCGACACACTAAATTGTCATTGTATAATTAGCACTCTGTCCATATGTATCTGTACATAGAGGTCCATTCATAATCCATTCATTAAAATAGCAGCCAGCTTGTTAAGCCTGTATACAAACCAGACCAGCCAGTTCACGACATGATGTGTACTATGTTTTATATCCAGTAATGTATACCTCTTAATTGTCTGAGAACTTTTAAACAACCTTCTGGTAAGTGAGCTAGCTTCCCCACTCTGTACAGAGCTGCATATCTATAATATTGTTATTAATTTATTTTTATCTATTTGTCTTTTTCACCTACCTTCCTTTAATTTGAGAAGATAAGAGTTGTATGAAACGGTAAATTCACAGTTTTATTTCCATGCTGTTTTCACTCTAACATGATTCTGTGGAAAATAAATGGTCAAGAAAAAACTTCATCCTTTTTGTCAGACAAAATGCTGTCATCATCATCATCATCATCATCATCATCAGAGAAACTCCTGCTTTATAGGTAGCAGTGTTAATTCAGGGTAACATTTAGTCATTATGCAGGACAATTTTGAAGTGACCCAATGTATTTCAGATACGCCACTCACTTTGTCTAATCTGTAATCTGTAGTGAAATATATTTTAAAAACAAGACTCAACACTGAGCAGAGATAAACATGATGCTCAATACTCATCTCTTTACACACACGGAGACTGTACGCTCAAAGCCACCATGATAAATGAAACCCTGTACAGTATCTACTGTGGAACTGCTGCTGTGTCACATGTAAACCCAGCCTGTTCGTTCCATTTTATTTTACAGCATTGATTATCTTCCATTTTTCAATGAGGGTCTTTAAAATGAACAATTGGATGTTCTTCCATATGATGTTTTTATATAACAAAAGACATATGATGAGTGAAACAATCATCAACACCATGACTGAGTGTTTCCACCTTGAACTGCAGTGAACCAGTGACAGTCTCATAAAAACAGATTCAGACAGCCAGGGTTTCATATGTCACAAACCTAAGGAACCAATCCTGTCAACTTGTGGGGACGGGGGCGGGGCTAAATAAACCTGAAACCTTGTCAGTACAGAGAGAGAGTTAGCATTAGCACAAGTACTAACACTGTGTCAGCCATTGCCAGTTACAAGCTAACAAACAACATAAACAAATAAAAGATGCTAACTATGCTAACCGTTCTGATCCGTCTGCTAGTCTCTGGTTCTGGTCTCAGACTCCTCCTCTGAGTCTGGGTCTGACTGAGGCTCATACATGTGGCTGAGTCTCTCTGATGTTTCCTCCTCTAACCATCTTGATACTCTCTGCTCTTTCACCTGTCCACCTGGAGACAGCAGGTGGTGGGCGGGGCTCAAGGCCTGATCCACATTTCTCAATCAGGAAGTAAGAGGAGATGAGCTTCAGACCCAGTTTGGGATTTCTTTTTCTCACTTTTTTACGTGAGAAAAACCATGTTAAACTAAATTTGAATCATAGCAGAGATCTTTACAGAGTTTAAAACATGTTTGGAGGAACTTAAAAGAAAGGACCACCTTCTTCTTTTTACTGTGAACCTGCTGGAAACAGAGAAGTGTCATCAGCTTTACACTGATCTAAAAAACCTGCTAACATCTTAGTTTTGTCGTCAATGTGAAAAGGTACAATCAGCATTCAGCCCCGGATCACATGACTCTGCAGTAGTCTCAGGTATTTATCAACAGTGATGTAAACATGACAAATTCACTAATTTCAGAGCACAAACACAGTAAACACACCTGTCACCTGTCCAGCATGAGCTACTCAACCAGAAACCCCACGCCTAGACGTTCCCCTGACGTAAGCCACAGCCCAGAGACATAACAAGATTAACTCTAATCCTAGTACATGTCTAGACCTCCTATGGTCAAATGCTGATTTTATAACTCTGACGTCATCTGACAAAACCACCAAAAACATAAATGAAAGACATGAAATGAAAATGTAAAGATAAAAGACTGAGCTGTGATTTCAGTTGTATTTACTGTTTTTTGTGGCTTTTGCCTTTATTACAGTCATAGTGAGAAATAAAGAGAGAGAGAGGGATAGGCAGCAAAGGATCATAGGCCGGACTTGAACCTGGGATGACAGGTCAAGTATCTAAATGCTGAAATGGCACTGGCAACCACTGGGGCCTGAGACAGACTCTCTTTCTTATTTAGTCTGTCACACAGAGCACAGCCTCCGTCTGGACCCACAATAGTTTAGTCTTTATTTATTTCAACTCCAGAATGTAACAGACTTTTATTAGAGGCAGGTCTTTATGTCTAACTCCCTCTGTTTGATATGTAGAGTTGATCATAGTCATTAGTACGAAGCCTCGTTACTGATGACTTCTCTCTCTCCCTCCCTCTCTCCTGCTCTCTTTCTCTCTGTGTCTTATGTTCAGTTATTCCTCTGCCTCCTTTAGTAATAATGATACATGGAATGAAAGTAGTTTATTTGCTGTAATGGAGGTGAGGCTCAGTGTATTGGAAGCGCTTTTCCTCTTCCCTGCAGTTCCTGAGCAGTTGGGATACCAGAGCAGCTGAGTAGACTGTGGCTCAGTACTCCATTGACCAGTAGTGGAAATATCATCAGTCAGTCAGTCAGGGACATTCACGATTATAAGGCTGGCCCCACCGTTGTGGTCCAACCAAAAACACACAATTACAGACTGAATTGTCTTATCTATCTTGTCTGAATTATCTGTCTGTGTGTGTGTGTCTGTAACCACATGTGATGACGTTGCTCCCTGCAGTTGCGTGTCCGTGTCCTCTCAGTCTGAACACAAAGACAAACTCGTTGGGCAGTGTGAAAGGAGTCAATCGACTCTTTTTAGCAGGCTTTTTACCCGTGTTTGAAAACCTGCTTTTGGAGTAAATGTAGGTGTAAACAGGGAGTGAAAGAACAGAGTGAACTTAC